AAGAAATGGAAAAGGCACAAAAAGAAGTGAGGCGGGTGTTTGACGGAAAAGGAAAAGTTGTAGATGAAGCAAGTCTCGATGAACTACCCTATCTGAAATCGATCGTCAAGGAAACCTTCAGATTGCATCCACCTGCTCCTCTATTGGTTCCTAGAGAAAGCCGAGAGACAATTGTGATTAATGGATACCAAATACCGGCAGGAACTAAGGTGCTTATCAATGCATGGGCTATCGGTCGAGATCCCACGCACTGGCATGAACCGGATAAATTTATACCGGAAAGATTCCTCAACAATTCCATCAACTACGAGGGCGATAATTTTCAATTCATACCATTTGGAGCTGGAAGAAGAGTGTGCCCAGGTATAAAATCTGGAAGTCTTGTGGTTCATCTTACACTAGCAAATTTACTCTACCACTTCGATTGGATGCTACCAAACCAAATGAAATCTCAAGCTCTTGACATGTCTGAAGTCTTTGGAATCTCGATTCATAAAAAATATGATTTGCATCTCATTCCCATCCCTTACCAAGCACCCTAAATAAAACCTTGTAATGTTGTTTCAGTATTATGTTTTACTTGTCTTGCATTTAAGAAATAATAATAAACAGTTAGTTAGTGGTACTTTTGACCATCGAATTATGGGGGGTTTTCCTATCATAAATAGCCATGAACCCTAAGTATTTTGGGAACTGAAGCAGACAGAAGAGAGACGACTTAATTAGAACTTGTTTTGCGGAATTTTCGCTTAATTAGCACAGTTTTTTTCGTTACTGCTACTGCGCAAAGGTAATTAAAGAGCCCCTTCAGCACAAGCAAACAAAATACGTACCAAATTTAAATGGCCACTCACAACAAAACATGGTCATTTTCCATCAATGCATAACCCGAGAAAACTTAACTCACTAAATGGAAACGATGGGTCGAACTTATAAAAACGATGATAAAAATTATATAACATCTACTTCGAATCTTCTCCAAATAACTCGAATTATTGTAATCAAGTGGTTCTTTAACATAGTATTAGAGTCGATGGTCATAAAAAAATCGAATAAAAATATGTATTTCGAAATTTCTCCCAACAACTAAGATTATTGCAATAAAGTGGTTCTTGATTTGATATTAGAGTCCATGATGATCAAGAGAGAGCTTTGGTTTTGCAATAGTTTCCAAGAAATGAACTAGATATTGGAGGAGGGGTGATAGTCTCTGTGCCCCACTTTTCAATGTTTCTCAATATAGGAATGCATATAATGTGATTTCAGATCAATTATTCAGAGGAGGACCGTAGCCCCTTCTGGATTATGCATAGTTCTGCCACTAATTGCAAGTTGATTTAACCATAAAGTATAGTGAATTGTAAGACAATCAAATAAAATAACCCTTTTTAACAACTCGTGTTATATATTGACTACTCTTAAACAAAAACAGCATAACATGCACCCACTTCTAGAACATCTCAAACGAGCTAGCTAGTCTGAGGTAATGGATTCATAGAGCAGCTGCAGCCTGCAGGAATCTTCATTAATATATGGAGCCAACTTTTGGGGCAACTAAAAATTGTTGGAGAGTGATTCGATCCAAATATCAATTCGGTCCAGTTTGGCTCCCGAGCTTGGACATGTTTAAAGCAGCCCACCAGAGACCTGAACCTGAAGGGGGGGAATATGAAGATTGGGCCAAATGCGTAACCGTGGGTAACTCTCCTTTCAGCCCACCAACTAGGGGTTAATGTTCTACAAAGTTAATAGGAAATGTGTGTCTTCACTCCTCAGTCCTCACTTTTTTTTTTTTTATTCCTCAGTTCTCACTAGAAATACGAAATTACCAAATCAAATGACATTTTGTGGGTGGATAAACTTTGAGCCTTGAGAGAGTAGTAATATGTGAATCGAGGTTTCACAAGTTTGTTCGTTACAAAGTGTAAGATTGTGATTATTGTGCTGATATTAGTAATCTAATTTTCTCGGGATCATAGTAATAATTATTTGATTCTAATTATTTTATCTTCTTTTTTCTATTGTTGATTATAATGGTAATGATATCAAAAAATTTCTCGTAAATATAAATAACTCATCAAATCATATTTGTCTTATCATTCTCTCAATACTCATCAGTAATCAGTCATCTCCATCCATCAAGTGACTGTCATTGTATGGAATGACAGCATTAGCTCTTAAAGAGCATACTAATTAAGTGTATGTTCATAAGTTGCATTACCAGTAAGAAAGCTTGATCGCAATCAATAGAATGTAAACATAAGTGCCGGAGAACAAAGAATCGAGATAATTAACTCGATTTCAATAATAAATAAATAAAAAAGCTTCATGATAACCTAATTCCATCAAGTTTGAAAATAATAAGATAAGTTTCTCCTTGAAAAGTAATCATATATATGTGATCACTTCCCGAGTGAACTCCCAGTGCCCAGTGGCAGTAGTGAACCAATGAATCAAAACGTTAAACTTATTTTCAATTTAGAGTGGAAGTTGTTGAATCCAGGATTCGAACCGTGGCTCAAATGTATAAGTATTCCACTCACGATGATCAATCTCATATCCGAGGCCGAGGATTGAACCCGAACTGAAACCAATAAGATCATCATTCCAAGAAATTGAATTGGAGAAATCAGCTGGTGGGCAGAGTAATTGTGTTTCTTCTCCCCCATAATTACCACCCTGTTCCTGACCAGTAGCGAAATCCATCGGCGACTGAACAGGAGCAGAATTAATCTCTGCTTCCAGAGATTGGATTAAACAGAGCAGCCTCTGGCTGTCGTAACCGTGGCAACGGTGATCAACTTGCGGCGGCTCTTCCAGCAAAGAAACCAGAAGCTCTCTGTAGTAAGCCTCCTCTGTTTCGTTGGTATGAACATGACCATTGCCTCCTTCCATTGATCTGATCTGGGACAATTCTTTACCCTTTCCCTCTTACTTTCTGAATGATTATGAAATTGTTTCCCCAGTAGAAATGGATGAGTCTCCCAGATGGGAAGGCAGCTGGGTTTTATACAACTAGGCCACAACAAGAATGACACGCTAGCTATAATCAGCTGAGCTATCAATGGCACGTCGTGTTATTGCAACATAATCCATGGAGCTGGATATGCTGTTTCAGATGATTGTGATTTAAGGAGAAAGAGATTCGTAAATTAAGATGGATTGTTTATTGTGGGAACTTGCCAAGCAAAAGCATTGTGCTGGTCGAGAATGGACAGCGACCGGCTGACGCGGCAGCTGCCGACCTGAACAAACGAAAACAGAGTGGCTATTATATTTATACTTAAACAAGTTACCCACGGGGCTTTCTTTGTCTTTGCTTCAAACAGACACCCGACTTTTTTGTTTGAAGATGCTGGTTTTACTTTTGATTATCTTGGTATGATCACTTGGTTAGGCTGAATTGATTGTCTATTATCAAGTTGGGTGCATGGATAATTTTGCGGTATCGAATCGGTTAAATAATCTATAGGCGGTGTTCAATACAAAATTTGTGAAATAATCTATATTGACTAGTTTTATGTTGTTAAACTAGCTATCCACGGAATAACAAACATTTTCGGATGATATTATTATACCAATTTATAATATATGTTGAATAAATAAGATTTTATTTATTTTGATTTAATAATGATATTGCACAAATAACTACCGATTGAACTATAACTTTACTACCAAAATATCATCGTTGGACCATAACTTGTGAACCCTTCCAAATCTCTTATTGATCTCGTTTAAGCCCTTAAATGATTAAGGTAACCACTCTCCATCACTAAGTTACACCACAATTTAAGTATTAAGGATTTCAACTTTCAGGGAAAGGTTTAGCTAATTATCTTGTTAAACAATATTTGGTTGGTTGTTATGGAAGGCACAGGCAGCAGCACATGCGATGTCGGATTGTGTGTATCAATCCATCAGCCAAAACAAGCACAAATACAGGTCATTAATTATCATGGATGGTGTCATTGCTATGTTATTAATCAAGCTCTAATTATTTGGAAAGGAAGCCCACCTGGAAGGAAGATAGTTGCTTCTGATCCGAAGGTCCCCCAAAATATCTCTTCCCTCACGACTTCGACATGCACATGTGAGTTATCTGACAGGAAGGAGTTAGAACAAGCTGCAGACTAACCCGACTTTGTATTAACACTCACATGCAAGATTTTATGCACCAATTGATTAATAATGTAAATCACACACGATCTTGTGTGTGAAACCAACAATACTATCCGCTTATTTATGAGCTACTCTTCTTTTGCATTAGAGTTACGACGTACTAGTATGGTCTAACAGGCGTGAATTATATTTAGCATAATCTAACTATCATATATTGAGATTGTTGGATCATGTAAGGACTTCTAGTTGATATTCAGATTGTAATTTGATTCAATATCAACACATTTTTATTCTCCATCTACACAGAAGCCAGACATGCAGGGCATTGTTGCGCATGTACTCTTAGTATTCAGATGACGAGTGAAAATTTTAGAAGATTGGTTTGTGATGAAAGCATTGTAGCTAATGGCTTAAATATGCTTGGAACGTCTTACGAAATCAAACTGGCAAGTCGTATATTTCACTAATTTGGTTAACAAGTCATACTCCTACTTATCATCTATTTCAATATAACTATATAGCTAGAACTTCTCTTTCGGATCATTCTGGATGAATTTTGCATCACAACAGCAAAACTTCTTCTGATATCATAACACAGTAGGTACTCTCCTTCCACCCGCCTTGCCCTAAAGAAGAGAATAAAGGGAGGCAATCAAAGATCTTTTTATCTTCCCCAATGCTGGATCTTGAAGGCATCCCAACACAGAGGAAACACATCAATGACACAAGCACATGGTTGCTCGATAAGAAGATCAGTTCGGGCACCAACCCATTATTTAGGTTCCCTCGAGAAAATTTGGGTGTCACCAACTCATTATTGTACCAATGATACATTCACATGGGCACCTCGTTCGTGCACCTAACTCATAAAACCAAGTTATGATTCACTTGCTTCCCAATAATGATAAAGACTTACATTACAACATCGCATTTTCTAAGAGAGACCTCTATATAAACACCTGGTTCAATGACTTAAAGAGAACAATACAATCACAAATCATCCACCAAGCTAATACCAACCAACACTTCCCACCATTCCATCTTCGCTAGTCCCTGCCAAAATGGCATCTCTTTCATCCGAAACCAGTCTCTCGGAGAACAACCATCATCATCAAGCCCTCCTCATGTCACTATTAGAAGAGTCGTTGCTACAAGTTGAAGAGTATAACGATGACGAAAGGTTGAGGAATGTAATCAAATCTCTTGAAGCAGAGATCAATGGTATTCCCGACATGATCATGGAAGATCACATTTCAAGCGAAAGTGCCAACAACAATGATGATTGCTACTACAATCCCGACCTATCCCTTGATGATTATGAACTCGATTGGGTCGAAGATATGGAAGCACGTCCTTCGATCATGCCACATGATGGCGCCTACAATGATCACGATGTTTGGTCAAGGATGGAAGGCTCCCTACAGAGTTATGAGGGGATGATGGTATTCGACGAGTTTGGAGGTCATGGAATCCAACACCTAGTACAAGAGGGTCATTGGTATGGAAGCTCCTTATGTCAGGAAACATTTACTCAGTGAGACATCGACTACGTAAAGTTAACTAGATCATCTTTTTCCCGATCATTTTACATTGGATTTTTCAATTTGACTATGGACTTCTGCTCTCTTATTGGAAGATGTGATAAGTGAATCCACAAAGTAAAAGACTGGCAAGTGGCAAGAGAGTATAGTTAATGTACTCTTTCTAATCAAACAGCAGAAGATTCCAGTAATTAGAAGCTAATTCTAGCCTATCAAAAGATTCGATATCTTGATTTCATTCCAGCATGGTGCACATAGTCGCAATAGAAAAAGAGAAGCGGAAACCAAGCCTTGAGCACATAAAAAGAAGACACTTTCTGCTTGAAAATGCTGTCCAGAAACCAATTCACAAAGGAAAACCATGTTTACATTGAAAATCCGTACCGACAACATTGAAGGAATCAGACAGCAGAGAATTGCCTTAGTCATGTCTAGGCACATCCCGAGGCGCTCGACACAACAAAGAATTTGCTGCACCATGAGAGACATCTCTGGGGTGTGCCACAACTATCATAAGTACCTGCGTTTCTCATCAGCTTCCAACTTGCAACATAAAAAAAAGTAAATGAATACACAAGAAGCTCAGATGAGTAACGTGAACATCAAATCCAACCAAACCAGTAAGCACCTACAGCAACATTGAAGCTGGGCAACTACGAGTTTAGCACAGGATCAATTACCTTTAATTTCTTCATTGCCCTTTGTATCCTAGCCATGACGCAATGGCCAACCATTTTGTGTTCTGTAGTCTCAAATACACAAAAGACCAGATTGGAAATCACAGGATGTCCAATAAATTTTACAAACTTTCGTTCCCCATTTCTACCAATGTCAACACACAACATAAGGCAGCGCCCACTTCCGACAAGCATGTGAGACTTGATTTCCGGCGACATATATTAGAGAATGGGAGGGGATTCAGGTCAAATCAATCAAACAAATAAAACGCGAGATCCAAGAGTAAATTTTCAGAAAAATGAAAATTTGCTCTTTTGTTTTTTCTTCTTTGGTTGCTCACTAGATGCTACTGTTATATAATCCTCCGGATTGACATTCTCGTCCCTTTTCTTCTTCACAAAATCTTTTGCCTTTTGCTGCAAAATTTGAAATGGACACAACCAGGTCAAAGAAAATATCGTATATAGAACAAAACAAAGGAATAACAAGTAGAATAGCAGAAAAATTAGGTCGTCATTAAGGAATTATGTTTAAGGCTTACCTTGATGGACATGGTCATGGTGGCCAGGTCTTCCTCCTCCGACTTACTGGTATTTCCCTTCACAGTTTCCTGAAATAAACAAACAGATTCAAGATCAAGCTTACAAAAGCAGAAAGATTGTTACCCATCAAAGACGAAAGATTAAAGAACCGACCTTTGGAGGAACAAAGGCCTCCTCTCTTTTTCTCTTGTTTTCAGCAGATTTTTCAGCTTGTTTATCCTGTTTCTCTCGCCATTTCTTTGCTGTCTTCTTTTGTTCACTCAAGAAGTACTCTCCAGTCTCTAGTTGAATATCAACCTTGCTGGGTTGTTGAGGAGGAGGGAATGGAGTATATTCTTTCTTTTCTTTCTTCTTAGGCTTCTTTCGCTGAACATTCTTCCTGAAAAATTATCCAACCACATCAGATGTAACTTCCCAGGAATAACATAAGTACTGAACATAAATTAACTAAGAAAAGGTATATCGTACTTATTGAACTTGGGAAGAAATCTGTCCCAACTCTCATTCTTCAATGCTGGATTATTTTCAAGTTCTTTCTTCATCATCAGAATCTGCCAAGCAACAGTAACACAAGAGTCCAAGGCAGATTTCAGCACAACTTCTTAACGAAGGAAACCGTACATAGGATGCGCAAGGAAGAATCGCAACAGAAACAGGCAAATATGCATACCTTTATATGGTGTACAGGATGCATCTTGTTTAACATGCATTCCTCTACAATCTTTCTAACTTGTTTTAAACCTTTAAATGAACCCATAGCAGCAACCGTGTGTCCCTGTTCAATAAAGAAATCCATTTAACATCGCATTGTTCCAAGCAGCTCAGGTTGAAAAACTTGATGAGAAAAGGAAAAGCACCTACCTGGACTAGAATATAACAGCCTGTCAAGATTTCAAGCGCCTGCAAACAATATAATCAGAGAAGGTAAGGCAGGGAAAAGGAGATAAGAAAAGTGATCCTTAGCTTTAGCATTCAAGTATTTGGTCGGCCCTAGATCTACAAAAAGTCGAGTTCCAGCGAGAATGATTTTCAATTACCTTTAAAGTAGATGAATTTGCCCCAACAAGATGTTGCCTTCGTTTAACGAAACGCTCCTGCAAGATAGAAACAAATTTGATGTTCTCATGCAACTGATAAGCTTATACAGAACAGAATTATTGACAAACTTCAACGTCTACCATGTTCCAAATTCCTACCACATGTTTTGAACATGCATGTGAGGTGGTGAATGATGCAAGGGCAATATGATCTAGTTAATAACATGAACTGTTTTCTTCAAGGCTTACCTTATTATGAACCATACCGCCAATCTTGATAACATCACATTGCATTTCATCATTGAGAATCTTGATAGCCTGAAACAATCAACAGAATCAAGAACTTTGATCACACCAGCAAACACGAGTGCAACCAGAAATCCATATTAACGGCTAGTGCAAGTTTCAGCAATAGAAACGTCCGTCCATGGAGAAGTTGCAGTTGCCAGTCTAGCATTGCACTATTATTTGACCAAATTAGAATTGTAATACAAGGAACACTGGACAAGGAATTGATCCCCTTACCTGAGGTGCAGGGACACCTCTGGATAGCAACTTAAGAAGATCCCTTGACTTGATAATTATGTAAGGGTCCCTCGTCTTTCTAGTAGTTAAGACAGTCATTGACCCCTCAACCTGATTCAGCAGTGAAGAACAAGTCATGACACGAGACACATAAAAAGCACAGTACTTTGACGACCTGTATGGAACTTGAGGTTCTATATTACTTCTTCGGACTTGGTTTGGAGGGAAAGTTCAGGCCAGAATGACCTCAGGAGCACGTTAAATCTCACAGCTAATTATATTATACCCGAAGCTTAAATCAATGGAAATGTAAAGTAATCAGAAAAATTCACCAGGTCGAGCCTGCCTTCAATGCCATGTTCTTTCAAGGCGGATTTCACCATTGGCCAAACATCCCGTATGTACTTTTCTGGAAGTGGCGATTGAACAAACGATGAATGAATGAGCTTTAATAAAGATACCATCGATTCTTACTAACGAGCAGAGAACAATGAACAGACCTCTGTATGAAGGAAAGAGGGTTGCGAACTCGCTGACTTCAAGCATGCCGCTTTCGTTCCACGAAGGGTCGAACTTCTCGACCTTCCAATGGTCGATGTTTGGGTCGTCGTCCCATGGCTTCGGTTTGTCGTGCTTTCCCTTGTGCTTCTTCTTCTGATTGTTCGCTTCGTTTACCTCTGTTTCGACCTTGCCCATTTCGTCCGCCATGGCTGCTGTTCCGGTGAGTTCTCCGATTAACGTAGAGCGACGGACGTCAAATATCCAGAGGCGAAAACCCTAGATAAACCCCCGGAGTAGGACTGTAGGAGTACAAAACAAAATCACCAAATTCGCGAGTAGGGTTCGAAGCAAGATGGATATAATAACGATTTTGACTCTTCCTTTTTCGATCTATTAACAAATGATCACTAAACTTTGGGGATCAACAAATTACTCACCAAACTTATATTTCTTTTAACAGATTTATCACCAAAGTTATTATAGCCACCTTCCATCAACTCCCCTTAGATTTTTGGCACACATAGTTCACTAGTTCAGATTACATGCAGTCTCATCCAAAGTAATGATAATATTCACACTTTTGATTATCTTATGGAAAATTCAGAATTCTCATTTAATTCATTTCTGATCAAATTCTAACTCGAATGCCACTCTAGTTTCTTCCCCATACACAATGTATACATCTAAATAAAGTGCCTATAAAATCTTTAGCAGTGAACCTATATAATATTAAGTTGGCCTCCTCATTTTTCACCAGTGTAGATTTCTCGGACGATCACTTATGTCACTAATTGACCTATCATAAAGTAACACGTAAAACTCTTTTGATATCTCACTTCAGAGTTATTGTCGTTAAATTTTATAGTATGGTTCTTTAAGTTTTGAGCATGATCCATGAAAGTTGAAACCGTACCGTACCGGTTGTTCAATCACAAAATATCCGTATTGAAGGCTAAACCGATATATAATATTTAACGGTACCTGTTTGAACCTAACTGGGTGTAGGAGTTAGATTCGAGTAAGGGTTGGGGTCAAGAAGAAGTGCAAGTAACGGGTTTGATCGAGAAGTCACAGACTAGAGAGTTGTGAGAGAACCAGAGAAGGGATATTAGAGAGATAAGTTGTTATTGTAGAGAGAGAGTGGTGAAAAATGCCATCCTCTCACCCACCGGAGTAAATGCCATATTTATAGGCTACATGGTGGTGGGTGAGTGGTTGGATTACATGATGGGACCTAGGCTCTGATGTGACCACTGACACGTTGGGGATTCCGGCCATCCCCCTACCTAGGACATGTCAGGGGTGTACCTACGACTGTGTCACTGATCCCTATGCGGCCGACCCTCGGGAAGTGTGAAGTGAGCTCCTTATGGCTTCGAGGCTTACGACGCGCCTGAGCCTCCGCGCCTTGATACTTCACTCTCGCGCAGCTCGTGAGGGGCTCTGGATCCTCGCGCGTTGGTTCTCTCCACTCGCGCACGCATAGTGGCGCGCCCTTAGGCCTTCATGCGCGCCTTGGACCCTCGTGCGCGCCTTCTGTCGGCGCGTCCTGCCTTGCACAGCTAGGTCCGAGTCACATGCCCAACAATTGCCCCCCATCAGAGGGTGTTCAGGGTGTTCTGAGAGCGCCCTCTGTTTAGGTCTTCGCTTGATTGACTCGGGCCTGGGCGCTGTTCCCGGGATTCTTCGCGTGCGCCTTGCCATTCCGTAGCCGCGCGAGATGTTCTGTCGTGGTTGCCTGATAGCGCGCGATCTCTGGGGGATCGTGCGCTCGGTCCTTGTGAGGTTCGAATCATCGACGGCGCGGTAATTGATCGAGCGTGATTATCGCAGTTGCGATTGTTCCTCGCGTGTTCCGTGGCTTGCGCGAGAGGCTCTGTTGTAGTTGCCTGATAGAGCGCGGATCTTGGGGTCCGAGATTCTGAATAGTGTGTGCGATCTTTCCGAGATTTTTCAAGGTCCGAGATTCTGAATAGTGTGTGCGATCTTTCCGAGATTTTTCCCCTTTCTTCGCGATCTTCGCGAGAGATTTTTTCTTTTCCCCGCGGGTGTGCCATGCCCCCCAGGCGTTGTGCGTAACTAGTTACGTCAGCGGCTAGTACCCACTTGGGATAGGTGTCCACGTGTCCTTACCTGGTTGGTTCGTTTGGGCGGGCGAATTTTGAAATTCGAAACGTCTGACGGTTGGGATTTTCGAGGTTACTTTAACCCTTCGCCTTCCCTCTAACAACTATAAGTATCGGGCCGTTTGGGGAGTGGGATTCATTCTGCCTCATTCTTCACATCTGAGCTCAGCTCCTCCTCTCTCGTGCTCTGGTTTATCGCCGAGATTCCTCTCCTTCTTTTACAATCTTAAACCCCCAATTGTGTCTTGCCTATTGTCTTTTTTCTGCTGTCATGGACAACATCAACACCAACGTCGGCGAGGTTGAGATCGTACAAGACGAAGAAGGTAATATTTCCCCACTTTCCCGTATTTCTTCTGACCCGTCGCTGGAATTGGCGAATTCCGGCGGCGAGGATGGCGGTGGTTCCGGTGACGGCGGAGTTCCGTCGACGCCGTCAACCAGAGTCGACTCCGATCCTGATTTCGACCTCAGAGAGACGGAGGCCGATGAAGATGCAGTGGTGTCCGGGGGCGAGGGGCCTAGTACGCGGCCCCAAGGCGTTCTAATAATCAGGCGCGATCACGGTGGGATGTCTGCAATCGCGGAGGGTGCTGGTACTGCTAGCGCGGCCGAGCGCGAGGGTTCTGATACGGAGTCGGCGCCGATAATCGCCGAGCCCGTCAACGTGGTGCGCGTAACTGAGGCGATGAGTCGCCTTGGTCCTCGTTGCATGGGCGCTGTCTACACCGTCCTTGATTGGGCGGAAATGTGGGGCGACCAGCCGGCTCCACATGACAACTTGTTGCGGGGACCCGACCATTCTTCAATCTACTCGCGCGAGGACGTTGAAGAAATCGTGCGCGGGTTGGGTTTGCCTCCGCACTGGGAGTACGCGGTGCCGTCTGTTAGGAGCACAGTTGGTAACTGCCCCCCAGGGTGGTTCGGGGTATACAGCGAGTATTGGGTGATGGGTTTCAAATTTCCCATCGACCCGCTGCTGTGTGCCCTATACAGGCGGCTCAACTGCTCGGTCGGGCGCCTCTCTCCGTCGATCATAATGCACGTCTCGTGCTTGCGCCTTGCTTGTAAGCGGCTTAACATCCAGCCCACGTACGGGCTGTTCCGCAAGTTTTACAAGATCAAGGAGCCCAGCAAGACGAGTGATTGCTTGTCCATCAAGCGGCGCGATAACAGGCCTGATGGATTCGTCTACGGCTCCCCCAAGCTAAAGAAGACGTGGTTTGAGCGCTTCTTCTATGTTAAGCCAGTGGCGGGGGAGTGGGCTAGTGAGTACGTGGATGAGCCCACTGTGTGGAAGAAGGGTAGTACCCAGAAGTTTGAGTCGCGCGTTGGCGCGTATGACGGGCTTGATCGCGAATATCAAGCGTGTTTGGATCAGAAGATGAACCTTTATACGCGCGGAGTTCGCGAGGCCATTTTGCAAGAGCTTTTCGCTGATGGTTAGTTGTTTTCCTTTCCCTTTGCATTCTGTCACATTTAACCAGTTTCTTACGATATTTTGGTGCAGGTGTCAATTTCGCCGACCTCGCGAGCATGATGTCGGTGGACAACGTTGCCAAGGCGCCCCGAGCCTCTCGTAAGGGGAAGAAGAAGCAGAAAGATGGGGCGCAGAGTAGTAACGCGCCAGCTGCCAGCGCCAAAAAGAAGGACCGGGGGCAGCCCAGCAGTGCTCCCGCGAGTGGCGGGAAGAGGAAGGAGTCGGCGTCGGAGAGGGAGCCGGCTGATGGGAACCCGAAGAAGGTTGCGCGGGTCGTGGAGCCAGAGGCGCGGGTCGTTACCGTGTTGGAGGCGCGCATGCAAGAGGCGCGCCAGCATCCTCTGGTCATCGTCGATCCCGAGGAGCGGGTGGGCAACTCCCCGCGTCCAGAAGGGGTGGTAGCTCCCAGCAGCTCTGGGGCCTCTGGGGCCGCTGGGCAACGGAAGCTGACTGACATGTTGGGGGGCGTCCCCGGGGTTGACTATTACCGCGACGTGCGGCTGCACACCGGCGCGGCGTGTAATAGTCAGACCGCGCAGGCTGCTTTGCGGGCAGTTGGGCCTGTACTCAGCATCCCACCCCGATTCGAGAAGTCGGATCCTCTTGTGGACCTGGCTCAGATCCATTGGGCGGTAAGGCTATTCTGTTCCCGCTCACGATTCTTTTGTTTTCTTTTCCTCCTCTTTCTTTTCCTCCTCCTTTTTTTTCTAAAGTTGTAAAGTGCCGTTTGTGCAGGGTTTGCTGGCGACTTACCGCGCCCAGCAGGATCGCGCTTCCACGCGCGCGAGGCTGAAGACGGACGAGTCTCGGATCGTGCAGCTGGAAGGGAAGCTCGCCGGCGCGGAGAGCCGTGCGGAAAAGGCCACCCACGAGGCCAACAAGGCCCTGACTGAGCTGGGCGTATGGCAAAGCCGCCTTGAGGCTGCTGTGGAGGCTGCCAAGGAGCGCGTCCGGACTGAGGAGCGCGACACCATTAGGGCGCAGCTGCAAACTCAGTTCGCTGAGGAGAAGAAGAAGTTGGCGGAGGATTTTGAAGGAAAGCTGAAGGAGGCCCGCGAGGACTTCCAAAAGGAGAAGAATGACTTGGTCCAACTCCACAATGTGGCGAAGGCTGAGGCGGTGCGTGAGGCTCGGGTCGCGGCGATTGGCCAATATAAGTCGTCCCAGCCTTTCGGGAGGATTATGGCGGACGCCATGACGAAGGCTGTGATCGCGGTTGGGAAGAAGGTCCGACCTTAGAACCCCGGCATCAGTTGGGATACCCGCGCGATGGTCGAGCACGTCAAGGGGTGGATAAGTCAGAACAAGTCCTTGTCCGAGTCGGAGTCGGAGGATGACGAGGAGGAGGAGGGAGAGAGCGCGGATGAGGAGGACGCGGGCAAAGAGGGTTCCGGTGGCACCAGGGATGATGGGCAGGCCGTCATAGCGCGGTCCCAGACTGATGAAGGAGGGCAAGAGTAGTGGGTTGGCGCGCTTGTCAATTGTTCCTCTTTGTTTAATTGTTCCTCTTTGTTTATTTGCTTTTGCTGGCGCTATGCGCGTAGATGTTGCTTTTCCTTGTTCCCCCTTGTCAAGTAATCCAAATGCATTTTCTCGTTTGTTTTTCGCCTTCGCTCCTTCACTGTCGTTATACATCCTTCGATTTTGGTGAACTTCCTGGGCGCTAGTGGCACTAGACCATTACTAACACCGTGGCGCGAATAGTGCTGGACTATCTTAACGGAGTTGAGCGCGAATAGTGCTGGACTATTGCTAAGTTTTGTTCCATGGAACTGAGCGCAGATAGTGCTGGACT